TCCATTGACCCCCCCCCTGAGCCCCCCCCCCCCACCCCCCAACAGTCTCCATTCACTGGTACAACAGGCATAGTGTGAGTGCAGCCTTAAAGTTTTGGGAAACACTCCTGTTTCCACTGAGAAGAAATGTTCTGAATTTAATTAAAATATAAGAAATCATGTAATTTATGCCATAAATTTGACATTGTTAAGAAAAATAATTAAAATTCTACAGCTGGTGCTTAACCTGAATACTTTACCTTCTTACCAGGTGATTTTTGGCTTCAGTGAATGTTTAAAACTGTAAAATTAATTCCAACAAAATTAACAAATAACAGCTCAGATGTGAGTTTTTGCAAAGTGGATTTTAGGGGGAAAAAAGTTAAAAGTCTCAGAGACAGTTTTTTTTAATAAACCTTTGAAGTTTTGCTGCAGGAACTCAAGTTTGATGGAGGTTGATGGAGATGTGTGGCAGCTGGTCACCTGACTTCACCGCTGCAATTACACACACACACAGACATATGGACACACACACACACTGAGGCAAATGGAGAGGTAAAGGAGGGAAAGTGCCGACTCGGCAGGAGCAGATGGATTGACATCAGTCTATGGAGTACTTTATGAATAAAAGTACTTTGTCCCAGTCCTGCAGCTCAGCTTTGATCTGAAGACTGAAGAGACATTAGACGACTGGGCAGTGAACGCACCAGGGAGGGACAAATAATGAGAAAATTAAAAATGTCCTTTCACTCTGAGGTGTTCAGGAAGAAGCTGCTGTGAACGAAGAAGTTCATCCACAGAACACTGCTGTCTGTGAGTGTGTGTGTGTGTGTGTGTGTGTGTGTGTGTGCCTTCACCCCACCATGGCCCATAATAATAAGTCATTTCTATCTGTCTCCTTACTCCCCTCCCCTGCCACCACTAATAGGAACTGCCCCAGACACACTGCTGTTCCTACAACATTATCTAATCTGGGGCAGAACCTATAGCACACACTGAAGCTCCACATCATTTCCTCTCCTCCACCAGCCTTATCTCCACCCACACTGCAGCCACATTTCCTCCAATTAGCCGTTATAAACAGCTGTAATAACAGATTTAAATTCTCACCAGCGTCAGTCCATCCACACCTCGGACCAGAGTACACACAGATACTTTGTAGTTTTTGGCAGGGCCTGGGCGGTGCGTAGTACCCATGTGACAAAGTACTGATGCTGGCGTCACATGACAATCACAGTCCAGTACTGTTTGTGTGTGACGTGTCTGGACAGATGTTTTTTCAAATTATTCAAATATTAGTCGGACACATTTCCTGTCAAATTGTAGCCTCATTATATTTATTGTGATAAATGCAGTAACTCCACAGTATTTGTATATATTGTGTGTATATATTAATATAGGTGTGTACATTATATATATATATATAGTTATGTGCAACAGAGCATTACATCTGTAGCATCTTCTTTACTCAGTTCTTTATTTTTACATTGTTAATGTGGTGGTGGTGGGGGGGCAGGGGGGATCATTTTTATATTGTGCACCAGTTCCCTTTATAGTTTTTGTACAGCACTGCAATATGAACCAACACTGGCTCATGAATCTGTCTGGAGAGGAGAGAGAAAACAGGAGAGAGAGACGGGGGAGAGAGAGAGCGAGAGGAAAAGAGAGAAGTGGGAGAAGAGACGGACATTAAGGGAGAGAGAGCGAGCGAGAGAGAGAGAGAGAGAGGGGGAGAGAAGGGGAGAGGCGCAGTGATGTCCACCCCCAGTGGGAGGCAGGATGTCGACCGTCATCTGTTTTTTCCCCATTTGCGACATTCAAACATCACTGGTTAATTATTGACACTCTTCACAGCTCTCACTCTGGAACTTGGCTCCGGAACTCTTTCACTGTCGGTCACCTGTCCGGTCACGGCTGTTTGGTTCTCCCGCCGGTCTCTTCCTGTTCTCACATGGAGAGGGACTGGATTCCTGGCTAACTCAAGGAAGACGTTTCCTTAAACGACCCCCCAGTCTGGATACTTTGTCTGGAGATTGTCTTACATGAAACCTCCTTTACTGCAGGTTTCTAGGATCCGTGCCGGAGTCTGTGCTGCGCTGTAGTTCGGAGCGCACCTGTGTGTGTGACTCAATGATGCCCCCCGGTGGTACAACTTGTCTGTTACTGTTCCTATTGAGAGGTATCCTGTCAGACCCGGGGAACCAGGGTGAGTTCACTTTTCATCTGACCCCCCACCCCCAAACAACAGGGATGTAGTTACTTTGAACCATTTCACATTTGTGTTAATATTATTTAATTAAATAGAATTACACATTAATTACATTTTACATTTTTAATAAGGAAAGAAAAAAAAGGCACAACCTCACTAACTCCACACCAGGTGACTTAAATAAGTGCCAAGGTTGTTTTTAGTTTTTTTTAAAAAATCGTTTCTGTTTCTTTTTGGTAAACGTTGTGACTCTTTTTTCAGCAGCATATTCAGAAAGTCAAGTGTCCTTCTGCCCAGCAAGTTATTATGACACTAATAGTACATATGTATAATATAAGGTAATATACGTATATAGTCTGAATACATTATTAAAATAAATATACAGAATATGTGTGTTCAATGTGCCAAGTTTTTTTTCCTCAATTACCACTGAAATAATTCTGTTGCGAGCAGTTCAAAAATTCACAGATGAGAAAGTGTCTGTCGTTTGTCACTGTGTTCCAGAAGGTTCACTGATGATGAACTTTCCACCATCGGTTCTAATTTCCCATTTCTGTGAAGTCCCAGTTTTACCGGTAATGTTAGCCTGTACTGTAGTTATCTGTTATTAATCTTTTCTAGACTTATATTTAGTTTATATTTAGTTGTTCTGTCCGTAGTGATGTCCCTGTTGTCAGGAGCAGTCCACCAAGTGACCCCTGAGGGAAGTTCATGTTCTCTTCACAGGTACCCCCCCCATTACCACCCACTCTGACAGGCCAGCTCACAGAAGTGTCTCTCCCAGAATAGTTTTTTCTCGTGGCTGTCGAGGGTAAAATCTGATTTTTTTCACATCCTGGGTTTTTTAGAAATATTGTCAGCCAACAGTTCCAACAGTTCCAAGGTCCAAACTTCAACCTAATCGGTTCTGGAGAAGGTGCTGCAGGGACCAACCTGACACCTGTGTTTTAGAAAAACAGCAGATTATTAACCCAAATCTTCATGACGCACTTTACCTTTGGTGACTGCGCAACTCATTTAAACTCATTCTGCTGCAGCACACTTTACTGTAAGAGAAAAAAGCCGTTAACGACTTAATTACAACAATTAAATCCAATAATATCATGAGGACGTGTTGTTTTATTAATTGTCTTTATTGTCTTTATTATTATGGTGGGGGGCACAGTGGAGGACGTGGTGAGTGCTGTTGCCTTGTGGTAAAAGGATGGATCGGCTGGAGATAAACTGGTGGGGTCCGTAGATGTGTGTGTGTGTGTGTGTGTGTGTGTGTGTGTGTGTCAGTGTCAGGTCCAGCAGCGTGGACCTGGATGATCTATCATTTCCTGTCTGGACAGCCAGTCTAATTGAATTCCTGATCATATTACTGCGCATTTCCAGTAAGGTTGTAGGTTCAACCCCACCACTGGGGGGAGAAGAAATCACAGTTATGAAGGATTTCCTTGTTTTTTCTTCTCTTCTCTTTGATGTCAGGTGACGTTCTCTGAACGTTAGAACATTAGAACGGCTCCTTTACTGGTGCTAACGGTTTAGTGTTCTCTACTGATCCATTAGGTATTTTGTTAGTCTATCGTGGGCCTTGGAGTCATGGGGGGTTGGAGAGCACAGCAGGTGAATTAATTTAATATCAGCGTACATTTAAAACAATGGCTGCCACTGAATGAACTGAACAATAGTCTTGTCTACAGAAGGGGGCGCTGCAGAAGTCTGTGAACCCCTGGGTCAGTCAGTATTAGCATTACAGCATTAGATTCCACTTCCTAATGTCTCCATCCGTGGAGCGGCGCTGTGATGTCACTACAGTGATGGTCTCCATCATTAGAGGTTCACTGGAGTTAACAAGGCCACGGTCAGATGAAGGATCTGAAGGTTCTCAGCCTTTTTATCTCAGCTTTGATGTGACGTCAGCTCGGTGACAGGAAGTCACCGTGAGAGAACCTCTTTGTTGTGAGCTCTGCTGTGATTTCACCGCTGGTTGAATCTGACGCCGTCTTCACCGTCCCGTCAGCCAATCACTGACAGCTCCATAACTGTTGTTTCTCTCTTCTCTGTTTTGTCCTCTCCATTTGTCTTCTGTTCAAACCCAACACTCCACCCCCCCCACACTCCCCTTGCTCTCACCCGTCACTCTTGTGCTTGTTCGTTCACATGAATTCCATTTCCACGGCTCGACCTTCTCCAGTGGTTCTGATGGACACCACTGCCGTCTCGGGAGAACTGGACTGGAAGACTTATCCTGTCAACGGGGTGAGTGAAGCCAACCAACCGAAACTGATTTATTTCATGAACAGCTAACAGTTTATTAGCAAACTCTTTTATAGTTTAAATTTAAAAAGATTCTCAAATGTACGTCAGATTCTTTGTGAAATAATAAATATAGGGGTTTTAGTTCATTCTTATGACTTTTAGCACTGAGTTATTAAAACAGGGGTGTGAAAACAAATGTCCCACGGGCCAGAATCGACCCGCTAGGGCAGGGGGTGTCCAAACTGTTCCACAAAGGCCCGTGTGGCTGCAGGTTTTTGTATTATTGTGTTATTTTTAATTTTCTACATCGTCTTCTAAGGATTCTGGTCTGTTTCTATCCAACATTTCTATGTTCTGAAAGTTTTGAAGTCGACGTTCAGTTCAAGCTTCATCACTGTTCAACGGAGCGCAGCTGTAACATGGTTGGTCTCCACGAAACCATCAGTGATCTGAACGTTTGGCTCTGTCAACTGAGGGGCGACGGGTGACATTCAGGTGTTGAAACAGAACAAAGGAAGAACTTGCTCCACAGACACCAACAGTGTTTTTCAGTGTTCCTGTAAAGAAAGGAACTCTTTCCACTTCCTGTTTTTTGTTCTGTTGTTGTTTTATATATTGACAGTTAACCAGGTCAATCAGACCAGACCAGTTTGACTTTTAATCAAAGCAGATCAATGGTGACGTCAGTGTTTCTTCTGTATTGAAGGGAACAATGTCAGTTGATGAGGTTCACAGACCATTTCAGTTGGCGATGGGATTTGACACAGTTCTGACGATGAAAATATCAGTGGATTTGATCACAATTCGTATAAAATTGTATCGTGAACAAAAAAACGGTGAATCATATTGTTAATTGAGTCGTATCGTTACGTCTCAAGTGACTCGACAGTGTTTCCCTCTGATGCCGCTGCTTGTACCTGACATGCTGCGCACCGCCCTGTTTGTCCACAGTGGGACGCTATCACAGAGATGGATGAGCACAACAGACCCATCCACACCTTCCAGGTTTGTCACGTCATGGAGCCCAACCAGAACAACTGGCTACGGTCTGGGTGGATCCAGCGTCAGGCAGCTCAGAGGGTCAGTGTGGGGTCACAGACACAGTAATCCTGGTCATCTCAGCTGTTTGTTCGCTAACGTTGACTGCATGTTTCCTGTTAGGTGTACGTGGAGCTGCGGTTCACCCTCAGAGACTGTAACTCCATTCCCTGGGTGTCTGGAACCTGCAAAGAAACCTTCAACCTCTTCTACCTGCAGACGGACGGGCCTCTTCCCGCTGCCACGCGGTTTCGGCCCAACGACTACGCCAAGGTGGGTTTACTGGTCGTTTAAACCAGTTGAAGTTCTACTGAAACATCTGCCCCACCACCATGTTTGTGGTTGAACTCCAGGTGGACACCATCGCCGCAGACGAGAGTTTCACTCAGACCGATCTCGGAGATCGCGTTCTTCGCCTCAACACAGAGGTCAGGGAGGTCGGCCCAGTGACCCACAAGGGCTTCTACCTGGCGTTCCAGGATGTTGGAGCGTGTATTGCCCTGGTGTCTGTGAAGGTCAGGGTTGTTGTGTTAACTACTGCGTCAGCTTCACGTGAACAATGAGACAAACTTCTGCTGTGGTCGTTTTGACTCCAGGTCTTCTACAAGCGTTGCCCGTTGACCCTGAGGAACCTCGCCTCGTTCCCTGACACCGTGCCCCACATGGACTCGTCGTCGCTGGTGGAAGTCAGAGGAGACTGTGTGGAGAACGCAGAGGAACGAGACACACCCAAACTGTACTGTGGTGCCGACGGAGACTGGCTGGTTCCACTGGGCCACTGCGTCTGTACCGTGGGCCACGAAGAGACGGACGGCTACTGTCAGGGTGAGTCCTGTGGGTTTCTGGTTTGTACTGGTTTTGGCCAGCTCTGGTCTGGATGACAGAAGAACTGTGACGACTAATAGTTCCAGTTGGTCTGGTACCGATCCGTCACTGGTTTGGCTCCATACTGTGACAGCAGTGTTGACGTGTCACGACCTCCGATGATGACCTCAGTGTAGGTCACGTGTCGTCACTGATGACTGATTCAATGATGTGGTGAAGAAGAGGGAAAGAATAGAAGCAGCTCATTGGCTGAAATGAAGCAGAGAGGCGGCGACAACTCTTCGTATAGGTGTATAAAACGAGAAGAGAGTAGAGGGGAGAGAGGGGAGGAGATGGGAGGAGAGGAGGCTCGAAGTAGAGAAGAGGAGACGTTGCATCACACAGACCATTGTGTTTCTCCTCCCTCCTCCCTCAACATCACCTCCCTCCCTTCTTGTTCCCTTTGTTTTCTTCACACTCCTTCACCTCCTGAGTTGATTTAAGGTGGACGCTGTTGTCTTCGCTGTAACATCTACATCTGTGTGATTTAATGACTGTGTGACTGCAGTTAGAGCTGAAGTGGAACCCTGACAGAACAGCAGGTCTGGAGCAGTGTTCTGATGGTGTCCGTCCAGGACAGTACAGTACAGTACAGTACATGTCCTACATCTATACTCAATTACTATTTATTTACTCTCTGACAGTTCAGCAGCAGTGACTTGACTGACACTGTGAGTCATGTGATCTGTAACACACACACACACACACGCACACACACACATTATGAAAGGATTAAAACAGGATAAACTGTAGTTAATTTGCTACAAGAAAAAAAAAGGAAAAAATATTTTAAAAATTATGAAAGGATTAAAACAACCAGCCTGTATATCATGTGTCACACTCGAGGCCTGCGGCCCAAATCTAGCCCACATCACATCATTTTATGTGGTCCAGCAGAACTTCACATGTGTACAGTGGTTCTCAGGTCTGTACTGATGTGTACTGGATAGGTTGAACGTAATGGGCAACTTTACTGCTCTAATTCCAAATTGAATCAAATATACAGTTAGCATAAACTACATTTTTACGTTTTGTTTTTTTTTTACGTTTACCTCCTGGTGCTGGGGCTTCTGACACATCAGTGTCGGAGACTGTGGTTTCTGAGATTTCAGAATCTGGGGGGCGCTAAAAGATAATTAAAGTTTAAACATAATAATGACATTTCTAATTGAATGTCCTCCCCCGGGAGTGAGCGTGAGCTTTGATGAAGCTCGACACCCTCCAAATAGTTGGAGGAAGTTTAGGCTTGAACTCACAGTGACTCTGCCTCCTCCACGCTTTTCATTTTGGAACATTGCTTCAAAGAGCACTGTGATCAAAGCTGTCTGAGAGGCAGCATGGAGAAGAGGGAGAGAGAGAGGGAGAGAGGGGAGGCAGGAAAAACCCCAGCTCTCTCAAATATAGGCACAGCGCTGCGTTCACACGTCTGTCTCCCCTGTCTCCCCCCTCCAGCTGCTGGAAGAAAGGCTTCACTTTTCAAACACGGCTTTATTCTCTCCCAGCAGCTTTTTTTTTGCCCGACTGTGTTGACATCTCAATCCAATGTTTTTTTCATGGTATTCTTTTTTTAATATTTTTTTGTTGAGTGTCGACCATGAGAAGAACGCTCCCAGATGTGCTGCTGATGTACCGTGGCCCAGATCACGCACCAACACACGCTGAGGCTTCTGATCCGTCGTCTTTTCATCACAGTCTAATTCAACAGACGATTGGGGGAAAATGTACAGATTTTTTTTCTGTTTAACCCAGTTGAAACAGCAACAGATGAATTCACGTGTCATTCACGTGTTCAACATTCTAATTTATTTGGTTTGACACAGCGTACTGTGTTCTATAAATTATAGAAATGAAGAGTGAGAAACGATAAGGAAAATGTGTCGTATTACTTTAACAAAGAGTCATATCACAGTAGTACTATCTAAAAAAAAACTTGTCTCTGTAGAAAGAGTTACAGAACCACTGGATTTAGTCAGTTGTTCACTCTGAATCATTCACGCTGAATTGACCGTGGTGAGGTGTAAATGTGAGTGTGAATGATGGTTTGTCCCCATATGTCAGAGAATCGGGTGGAAGTTTTGCAGGTTGAGTGGTGATGTCACATCCTGATGTCACACAGATTTGATGTTATTGATTTTGATTCAGTATAAAATCTGACGTTCCTTGGTTTTAGTTAATTGAATTTGAAATGTTCAAATTCTGTTTGGGATGAATTTAAAAAAAAAATATATTTTTTTAACTGCTGCAGGATTTATCTTGATAAAAAAAATCCTGCTGCAGGATTTATCTTGACCACCAGGAGATTTGTCCTTGAAGGAACCTCTGGTCTGAGTCTAGACGACAGACAGAGGAACGCGTTCATATCTCTAACCTGGTTCAGTCCATTATTGGCCATTTGTCCACACTGGTCTGAGAGTGTGAGAGAGCAGAACCACAGGAAATGAGATCTGAGCAGCATTTACAGTCACTTTGAAATGTGACACTAATCACATCACAGAACTCTGTTTCCTCCGGCTGCTCAAAACTCACAACCATAACAATATGATAATAATGTGGGCTGTTATATCTGCTGCGTCTGTTGTTAAATCAACAAACCACAGACACAAACTGTTCGTTAATGTCAGACACTGATTGGATCACTTCAGCAGCAGCAATGTCCATAGATATGTTATAGTATTATCTTGTGTTTTATATATGCCTTTATGTATAAATAAATATACTAGGGTCCGATATTAGGTTTTTGCCGATATCTGATCTGCCAATATTGTCCAAAAACTTAATTTCAGATTCCAATTCCCATTATTTATTTTTTCTATTAAATTTTATATATTATTTATATATTATACTTTTTTAGGGCATACATTTTTTGGTGAAACCCAGGCATTGCATTATATATCTATGTATGTATATACAGTATATATGTATATATAAATATATATAATATATACAGTATATGGAGTGTATATATTGGCTCTAGTCTGAACGATGGTGAAAATTTAGATTTGTGGGGGAGGGGGGGGGGCTGCGTTGCTGTAAACTGTTGTCCTCTGTAGTCACAGACAGATGGAGGCAGAGTCTGTGTTTACTGACGTCTCAGCTTTGATGTGCAGATGGAAAGTTCACAGAGAATGACTGATGCTCTGGTCCGGCCGAGCAGCTGAAAGCCAACCTAACACACACCTTAATGGTCGGCACAGAGGAGTCAAGTGCGACTCCAACAGGAAATTGACTCGCTCGTTTCCTGTTCTGCTTAGTTTGAGGAAACTGTGTGCCTGGAAGATGGAGAACATTCATCTACTGCTCAGCCCTTTTAGGGCGGGGTCATATTCACTACTGTGATGTTTGTGGGTGAACCAGTCTCTGGTCACAGGTGTGCCACCATTGTTGAACTGGACCGTTAGCATTTAGCTCAGTGAGCTAATGACTGGGGTGAGAGTCACAGACAGACAGGACCGAAGCTGTGAAGTAGATGTCTGTGTTGTAGAATGGTAATGTAAACGGTTGGGTTGGATAACCCTGCTTCTCCTCTGTCACCCCCCTCCCCCCCGTCCCCCCCAACTCCTCCCCTTCAGCTTGCAGACCTGGCTTCTTCAAAGCGTATGCTGAGAATACCAAGTGCTCCAAGTGTCCGTTACAGAGCTCCAGCCACGACCAGGCCGCCACCATCTGTCACTGTGATAAAGGCTTCTACAGGGCTGTTAAAGACCCCCCCACCCTGGCCTGCACAAGTCAGTGACGTCCTTTATGTTTGTCTTTTTTTTTACCCGAAGTTTTGTCTTCCTTTCCCCAAATCGTCCATGGTAGTTGGGTTTAACAGATACATGTGAACATATGAGGTTCTACAGGTTCCTGCAGCAGCTGGAACAGAACCAGCAGCCGGTGCATGAAGAACCAGGTTCCACGTAGAACACAGAATGACATTGTTGGATCTGTGATGGTGAACATGCTGCTGGGCCTGAGTGGAGTCCTCGGCTCCACCCAGTCCTCGGTCTCTGTCCCTTGGGTGTCTCTTCTAAATTTACACATTGGACATTAAAATATTAACTTCATGCTAACTCTAAATTAAAGCAGCTGTGACTGATGAAGTCTCCTGTCCCTGTTTCCAGGCTTTATTTATAGACAAGCAGCCCTGGAACTGTTTAGGCAGAACAGATGAAACTTCAGAGAGTTACCAAACCACCGTTTATTCTTTGGTACCACGATAAAATAGTATTGTTAAACCCAATTAAATCCAGGATCAACCCCTCATTTTGGACAATAATGACCTATTTACCATAATATTGTAAGTAGAAATGGCTCAGTTTTTCATGTCCGATACTGGTGCTGCCACTTGAAGTATCTGCTAATACCAATTTCAATCCGATACCTTCTTTTCTCCCCCAGCATGCCGCAGCCATCGTCTATTTTAATTTAGCTGTTATAAATGGTTTCTGTGGAAGTGGGTAATTTTTCATCCAGTGTTTTCAGTGTTTCCGGCCCGTATGTGACCCCTGGTTTAATCTTCCTTCAGGACCTCCGTCAGCTCCTAGGAACCTGATGTCCCTCCTCAACGACACGGCCCTCTTCCTGCAGTGGACACCTCCCGGTGATACCGGAGGACGGAGGGACGTCTCCTACAACATCCTGTGTATGCGCTGTGATGGAAGTGACGCCGGTGGCGTGGTGCAGTGTGAGCCGTGCGAGCAGGACTTGAGGTTCATCCCCCGGCACCGGGGCCTCACCGGGACCTCGGTGGTGATACTGGATTTTGCTATGAACGCCAACTACACCTTCCATGTGGAGGCCATAAACGGTGTATCTGGGCTGGGTGTTGCTGCACGCTCCCTGACCAACATTACTGTCAACACACGCCAAGTCGGTAGGTTGTTTTCTTTACATCAGGAAAACTTTTCCTTCTTTGTACAGGTGGTCTTATAGCTGGGGTCACCCACTGTATTTGACAGAGGACCAGAATGTTTCTGACACCTGGGGGGCCGGACAGTCAAGTAGATGGAATAAAATTCATCATCAACATTACAGAGGTCCCTCGGGTTACGTTCTAAGACCACCTGTGATAGGTGAAAAACCACGAAGTAGAGATGTGATAGCTCTGATATTATTTAACCCTTTTACAAACCCTTTAGGAGGCATCGTAGGGGGTGAAATATGGCAAAAAATGAAACTTTCACAAGGTATTTAAATAAATGTAGAGGGCGCTCATTCTCAGTAACATTTTAGATAAAATTCTACATTTTATTTTCACAATTAACTGTATAAATTCTCTCAGACTAATCTGGTCTGGTTAAGTCGACCTGGTCTTCTGCTATTTTCATATTTCCTCATTGAAACCCTAGTCCTGACCCCTGACTCACCCCCGTTGCCACGGTGACGTGAACCTCGTCTCCATCTGCGTAGCCACGGTGACATTGTCGTTCAAAGTTACACACAGATTTTGGAGTTCAGTGACTGAATCCTAATCCTCCCTGTTTTAAAGAATAAAATATTGTGTGAATAATAGATGCGGAGAGTTGAGGTGAAGAAAGGAGACGAGATGAATAAATGATGCTCAGATGTAGGTGAACATTTTATTCCCCTTCAGCAGCCGCTGAGGAGTGAGGAGAATATCTGATCAGAACAAGACTGAGGAGTGGAGTCACCCTGGGCTAAAACATTGGCTTTGTGTTAAAGTTTCTCAGTGTGCAGCGACAGCTGTAGTGGTTGAAACACTGTAGTGTCTATAATAATAGATTATAATAATGATCATAATATATTCAATATATATGTAAATAAATGGTGTAATAATATATAATCATATAATAATTATTATGATAGAGATGTGGATATATATGGATATATATTATTATTATATATATTGAAACATAGTGTCTATAATAAGATTCTAATATAATAATAATTATAATATATATGATATACATGTATATATATTATAATCATTATTATATTATAATACATTATTATAGACACTACAGTGTTTCAATCAATTTTATTATTAAATATATGTATATATAAATATATATGTATTTATGTACATATTTGTATTATATTTTCTTATTGATACAATTGGATTGGATGGCTATAACTTATAACCCTAAGAAAATTTGCTTTAATTTTGTCATTTACGTAAGAAAGCAAATATATAAAAAAATATTCTATTTTATATATATTCTCACAGATATGAGAAATGTATTGGACATATTTTATCATTTAAAACCCAGTAAAAAAGATCTTGATTACGTCTGGATGGTTCTGGACAGTTCCTGAATATATGATCTCCATCATTTCCAGTACTAAAGGACTGTTAATGGATCGTTCTTCAGTCTCTGGGTTTAGATCAGCTGTGATGTCCACTGAACTCTCACTCTGCTTGATTAAACGTCCATCAGAACCGACTCGGGACAGATGGACTCATTACCAGTTAGAGCCGACGTTCAGAGGTGATTCTTATAATTGACTGTGATGTGATTCCACCGATGGAACAATAGACAATCAAAGGGTGGGGCGGGGGGTCATTAACTACAGTTTCTCTCTGTCTGAAGGACAGAAGTCAATTTATTCTGTCTGCTCATTTGTTGGTAAATGACACATTAATGTCTCATCGTGTCTTTAATTATTCTGAGCCGTGAGTGTGAACGGCCAATCATTTCTCTCCTCTGCTGCGTGGACGCCTGTCTAACCTTATGACCAGGCCTAGTCCAACTTTGTTGTTCCTTAGTAACAGGATTATTTTTAAAGCCAATCGTCACGTTGAGGTTAACTCAGTCAACAAATTTGCTGACGTCCTGGGTGACTCAAGGCCAGGCGTGTGTGTGTGAATCCAGTTATTGCCCAGCAAAATGTTTTTTTTACTGAAGATTCCTTCCACATGAATGTTTTTTTTTTTACTGAAGATTCCTTCCACATAGTTCACTGCAGTATTTTGAAAGAGGCATGAAGAAATCAATGCAAATGTGTGTAGAGCAGACGTGGCCGATCTTTTTGACTTGTGGGCCACAATGGGTCCTAAAGTTTGACAGGAGGCCGGTTCTCAAGCAGATAGACGGAGCACATTTAAAAAGTCATGCATAAAATAGTATAAAATGCTAAAATGATTGTTAGCCTTTTCTATGCCATCTATTGGGGAAATGTGGGAACTGCAGGGAAAAGGCAGAAGTATAATGATAATGGAACTCAATAACATAGTTTGGACAAGTTTGGCAGGCCAGATCAAAAAGCCAAACGAGCCATAATTTGCCCATGCCTGATGTAGAGGAACTTGAGTCAGGTGATCAGGGAGACGGTAACCAGCTGTTTGGGGTTTTTTTTTGGTGAGATAAATATCAAAATTATGTGTGTCCGATATTATCTTTTTGCAGATGTCTGATACGCCGATGTTGTCCAAACACTTAATTTCACATTCAGATATCAACCGATATATGCAGACTATTGCAGGACATCATAATGAACTTTCTCTCAATGACAATAATTCACTTTTACTTCAAAACTATTTTCATGTCATACATCATCTGGGAGAAACCCAACAATTCTTAGTGATATTACAGAACAATGCTAAAATCGGCCGATGTTATCGGAGCTCTCAGATCAAATTAAATAGATGAACTGAATCTGTCAGATAACGCTGACATGATTTATTTTAAAAATCCTCATATATAAATCATGGATCTTACATCAGTAAATCACTTTTCATTCAGTTAAATTAATTTCTCTTCTTTAGTGTTCGACTAATAACCAGTCATTTTCTGACTCATGATGAGTCAACGGTGGAGTTTCTGTGATGGCTTCATGTTGGTCGGGGGTCGAGTCCCTTCACGCTGCATCAGTGTCAGAACATTTGTGGCTTTGGTTCGGTGTCCTGATTCAGGAGATTTGTTCTTTTCACCCTCCCCTCCCACTGATTCTCCTCCTCTTCTTCTTCTTCTTCTCTGCTCTGGGAATAAGGCTGCCTTCTATTTATACGCTCAGATGCTGGGGAGATGCAGCCTCCTGGGATTTCTGTACAGCTCTGTGTGTTCACTCTGCCCCCACCCCCACTCCCCCATCCCAACCTCCTCCCCCGCTTCTCTCCATTTTTTGGAGCAAATATATAAACGCAAGTTTTAGGATCGACCTATTTTCAAGTGACAATAAACCAATCAGCTGCGTCAATTCAAGCAGACTTTGACGTGTCAGTCGTCTTTTCTATCGTGTTTCTATTAGAAGTTTAGATTTGATGATTAATCAGTCACTTTTTTACAGTGTTTTCAGTGAATTCACATTGATTTCACCATCACAGAAAGACCACTGTTATCATTTGTCTCTGAACACTTCATCCTCAGGTCCTGCTTTGGTGGATTTTGTTGGAAAAGACTGGGCATCCCAAAACAGCATCGCCCTCTCCTGGTCGACAGTGGAACAGGTGTCGTTAGACATACTGGATTATGAAATCAAATACTATGAGAAGGTAAGTATGAAAACAGGGTGTTGTTTAAATAAACATATTATATTATAATTATATATTATAAAACATATTTTCTTCCTGAATGTGTTGAAAAAAAATTTAAAAATTTTGATCTCTTGTGTTACCATTAAAAAACAAAACAAGTAAATATATATTGTTTATTTGCCTTTAGAGAGTTCTGTGTCTTTATTTGACCTTGAAAGTACTTGAACTTGCCTGGATAAATGTGTTTTAATCCTCAGCTTCGACTGTGTGTTTTTATACTAACTCACACCTGTAGGTGGTTCAGCGAGCCGCCCACGAGTGTCTGATGTTTATTCCTTCCTTTTCACCATCTGTTCTTCATATTAATAGAAATAAAAAGTATTGTTGTTTTTTTTTTATTTTAACTTGCTGTGATCATCAACATCTGCTCCTGTTGTTCAGAGGCAGAAACATCTGAGGTACTCGTCTACACGCACCAAAAGCCCCAGCATGGTGGTGACCGGCCTCAAACCCTCCACCATCTACGTCTTCCATGTCCGTGCCCGCACCGCAGCTGGCTACACCGCCTACAGCCCCACTTTTGAGTTTGTGACTGCGGCAGAAGGTACCAGAGCACCGGAGCTGGGGCAGATAAATGTGCCCGTGTGTTAGGGAGGGCAGGAGTCGATGCTGAGTCAGCAAGATCTGTGGAGGAACGGAGCCTGCTGTGGAGTTTACTGTCATGAAATAAGGAGGGCGGGGGGTGGTTAATGGGCAGTCCTCCTGGTTGATCGGTGAGACCATTAGACCTCTGTGGACTCTTCAGGGTCAGTCTCACCGTGGATCAGTTCCACTCATCAGTGCCATTTAATGCTCATTTACATAGCTCTCTCTTCAAGCCATAGATTTCCTAATAAAGGAGAAGTTAATTATGAAATATTTCCTCTGCTCTAATGTCTTTCGCTAGTGTCTTTATATAGAAATATATATATACATACATACTGTATATACATGTATATTTGTGTGTACATTTACCTACATACATATATACATGTAATATGTATATGTTTATATATATGTATGTATATCTATTGGGGTGTAAAAATGTTGTTACACTGATATATCATGATATTCCGTTTAACTGTATTGATATTATTCACCACTGTATATATGTATATATATTTATGTCTATTTATTCATGTGTATTTGTATATACTGTGTATGTGTGCCTATACTGTTGTCTTTCACAGTAATCCTCAGTCCACTGACAGTGTTCTTCTTCAGACCCAGATGTTGCTGACCAGAGCCAGGTCCTGGTGGTGGTCACAGCCTCAGTCGGAGGATTCTCCCTGTTGGTCATTCTGAGTCTCTTCCTCCTCATTACTGGACGGTGAGTTTGTTTCACACACACACACACACACATTTGTACAGTGTCCACAGAGGTCTGTTTACAGACTGTTGTTATTGACAGTCAGACAGTGTCAGTTGTTTTAACAGAGCAGCTCACTATATATAAATTATATTTATTATATAAATGTTTTTTTATTTTTAGGCATCATTGTGTGTTTCTGTCCATTTTAGGATTATTATGTAATAAAAACATGATGCTACTGGATAACAAACCTAGATATTGTAATCTTACAGGTACTACACGTACTTCACTAACGTAGTATTTCTGTGTGTATTTGTGTGCAGGTGTCAGGGGTACATCAAAGCCAGGATGAAGTCAGAGGAGAAGAGGACTCGGTACCACAGTGGACATGGTAGGGTCAGTACTGTCTACTGTGTACACTGTATACATTTGTCATTGTTGAGTCCACTTCGTGTTTTTTGTGCGTTTTTATTCTTTGTTGCCCTCTGGTGGTGAAACGTTGCATCTTCACATATCTGGATATATATTTAAAACAAGGCCTTAGATAACAACCATTCAAAGTCACACTCCGCTGCAATACATCACACACACACAGACACACACACACGCACACAGTGTACCTGAGGCTGCTCCACTGTTAGAATGCAGTTCTTGTTCAGACTCAGCTGCAGATGGAGGACGTTAGACGTGAAGTCTCACTGCTCCCAGTGTCTTCATGCACACATTTCAAAGTCATTTCCATTTTTTATTTGTGTCTGACAAAACAGTGGGTGAAAAAGTTTTCCAACTGCACTGGAGAAATGGAAGATTCCGGCAGGTTACAGAATATTCACCCAGACAAATAAATGATTCTGTAGGAAATAATGACTGGAACTTTGACAGTGTGTGTTGTGCTTCCTGTCTTTCAGTCCCATTTTCTGGGATTAAAACCTACGTGGACCCGGACACGTACGAAGACCCCTGTCAGGCTGTGGAGGAGTTCGCCACAGAGATTGACCCCTCCTACATCTTCATTGACAGGGTAATTGGTTCAGGTAAAATTATGGCTCATCAAAAAGTTCTGCGCACAACTCAAGTGTTTTAGTTTTTAGGAAAATTAACTTCCAGTGAATTGTTTTCAAGGCCAATTTCAAAATATAACTCTCCAAAAATCAATGTCACAGAGGGGCTTGAAATTCAAAATGGGTGAATATTTGTTTAAAATATATATATTATTAGTTTGACTATTTAATATTTACTATATAGTGTATATACAGTATATATGTGTAATCTTATGAGACATAAGTGATTTTAATAATGATTTTAAAAAGAACTGGATTTGGGCTCAATCAATTTACCAAATTACAAAGAAATCTTTTTAAACCTTATTCTTCCTGTCAGTGGATGAAAAAATCAGAACAAAGAGGTTCAGTCAGGGTGGACTGGAGCAGAAATGTTCACCATTAGAATATTAACTCATTAAACTCATTAATCAAGCCTTTGAAGCAGACAGGAATAATGTTCAAGTTCACAGTCTAATGCTGCCTGTCTTTGGGCTCCACCTGGTGGCTGAAGTTTGCAAATACTCAGCACTGGACATAGATGTGATGATGAAACTGATCAGAGCTGTTGGAGACACAGACCAGTCTGAACTGGTTTTTAGTTTAATTAACATCAGACACGCCCCCTCCCCCCCTCCAGGTGAGTATGGAGAAGTGTGCCGGGGACGACTGCGTGGACCAGGAAGGATGGACATCATTGTGGCAATAAAGACCCTTAAAGGAGGCTGCACAGAACAGCAGAGACGGGACTTCCTGCGTGAGGCCTCAATCATTGGACAGTTTAGTAACCCCAACATCATCAGACTGGAGGGAGTGGTCACTAAAAGTAAGTTGTTTCCTGTGTTCCGTCCTGTCCACATACAGTATACTCCGACCAGGATCAACAGTTCTAGAACAGTCTAGTACTGATGACGATTTAACCAGAAAGATAGTAAACAGATGTTTTACCTCATTGGAATAAATAAAAAATAAAATTCAAAATATTAACATGAAGCAAAGTAAGAATATTTTTACACATAAAATGTAGGATGTGATTTATAGCTCTGGTGGGCTGCGCAAGTGACGTGATGGGCTGGATTAGGCCCGCAGGCCTTGAGTTTGACACATGTACAACTCCTGTCAGCCGGGTCATCTCTGGCTCCCTCTACTGTTCTACTGTAGATCAGGTCAGTTTGTTTCTAATGAAGTTCTGTGTATTGTGATACCACATCTGTACTGTGTCTTCAGGCAGACCAGTGATGATAGTTGTGGAACACATGGGGAACGGAGCTCTGGACGCTTTCCTCCGGGTGAGATGAGATGATCATTTTTATTCATTCATATTTAATGTGACTATTCTTAATAAGAGGGATGCATATTTATTTAATAAAAATGAATTACAAAATGTATCGTTATCAAACATAAATATATATATTATTAAGAAAACACACACGCAGACTTTAGGATTACCCAGAAATGTTGTAGCTAAGATGCTAAGATATTAGCCTGAGTGCTACTTATCTTGTAAATAAAGTTAAAGGTACCATCTCTTTCTCTCTAGACCAATACCAACAGGTTAGCCTACTTGTCTTGTAAATAAAGTTAAAGATACCAACTCTTTCTCTCTAGACCAATACCAACAGTTGTATTGAAATAAAATAATCTCTCTCTCTCTCTCTCTCTCTCTCTAAACTTTATACCGCCCCTTTCTCACCTCCCTTCAGTCATGTGATGGCCAGTTTCAGGTGCTCCAGCTGGTGGGCATGCTTCGTGGCGTCGCTGCTGCCATGGACTACCTGTCAGACGTGGGTTATGTTCACAGAGACCTGGCCGCTCGCAACATCTTGGTGGATGAAAACCTTGAATGTAAAGTGTCCAACTTTGGAATGTCCAGGGTCCTTGAAGACGACGTCGAGGCGGTCTATGATGCTGCGGTGAGTCGGGGTCTGACGGCTGGAGTTAATGTGGTGAAACCTGAACGTGTCATTAAGATAGCTGTGTTTCAGGGAGGAAAAATAGCCATTCGCTGGACAGCGCCAGAAGCTATTACTTATGGGAAGTTTTCTTCAGCTAGCGACATCTGGAGCTACGGAGTCGTTATGTGGGAAGTGATGTCATATGGAGAGAGGCCTTACTGGGAGATGTCTAATCAAGATGTAAGATCCTAATTTTTTGAAATCCCACTTTTGCTCAAATTTATTTCTAATAAAGAAAAATAATGATTAGGGCAAAATCAAAGGTTAAAATTTAAATCCAATTTTCCACAGGCTAATTGTTGACTTTTCCTGTTGTCCTTCTGATTCATGCTGACTGTCCCAGGTCATTCTGTCCATTGAGGAGGGCTATCGTCTCCCAGCACCGATTGGCTGCCCCCTGTCATTTCATCAACTGATGCTGCACTGCTGGCAAAAAGAGCCGAGTCAGCGTCCACTCTTCACTGATGTGCTGACATTCTGGGATAAATTCACACTCAACCCCAGTAGTTTCCTGTCCTCAGTCAACGATCTGACTGGGTGAGTATTAATGGACACACCATACCTCAACTGTCCTTGTATCTACAAGTGAAGTTTTTTCATTCAGACAGTGTAACAAACAGAAATACAGTTTGATCGCTGGTACTTTCAGGTGTATAACCTCTGACCTTGTCTCCCCTAGTTTCCCCGACTCCCCCGACAGCCTTCCGGACTATCCCTTCTTCATCTCCATTGGTGACTGGCTGGACTCCATCAAAATGAACCAGTACCAGAACAACTTTGTTGCAGGAGGATACACAACCATGAGTGCTGTTTCAACCATGAGTATAGAGTGAGTGACGCCTGTTATTGTTACTGTTATTATTATTATTTATTTTAGACACGTGTCAATAGTGATATTTATACTGAGTCTCTTTAGGCCCTAAAATAAAATAATCTTTTAATATCACTTCAATTTGCCGGGTTTTTTTTGCCTTACCTTGACAACCGCCTTTGGGGACATCTGCTGGTTACAATTGCTTTTGCCTTACCTTGACAACCGCTTTTGGGGACATCTGCTGGTTACAATTGCTATTACAACTTTTGCTGCGCTAAATACAGTTAACGTAAACTTAAATGTTCTGTTCCTACCGGTGTTGACAATGTCACTGTCTGCTGCTGTCACTTTTATTCTTCTCCTTCTTCTTCTTCCTTTCAGGGACGTCAAACGTATTGGTATCAGTTTGATTGGTCACCAGAGGAGAATCATCAGCAGCATTCAGTCACTGCGTCTACAGTTTCATCACATTCAGCAGAGTGGCTTTCAGGTGTGAGACACAGGAGAAAGAACTGACTTCAGTCCAGACTGTAGTGGAGAACATTCTAACACCAGGCCACGGGTGGTGATGTAAAAAAACACACACACACACACACACACACACACACTCATTATGAAGTAGCTCATCATTGGTACAACACACACAACAAGTAACCTCTGTGTCTGCATCACTGAGGTCTGGTTCTTATCTCAGCAAATACGAGGGTCAGTCAAAAAGTCCTGAGACAAATGTTTATCATTGAATCTTTGTCCAGTGTTGAGCCGTGTGCCCTTTGACCTTTGATTTGGTCAGACTTTTATTTAAACCTGATTTGATTTTCAGACTTTAGATTTTTAACCAAACTTGAACAGAAACCTGTGTCATCAACGGGTTCTGACCCAGAACCACATGATTTCTACTTTTTTCCAGAAACTGAAAAAACATTTGAAGGAACTGGACAGTACTGTAGTCTTCATGTTCTAGTCTCACAACATTCTCCAAGGTTGATTTTAAAATTCTAGTGAAAATGTTCTCCTCTGGGTTCTGGAGGCCAGAAAGCAGCTGCTTCGATGCCAGAAGAAGTATTATTATTATTATCACTACTATTATTATTATTATTATTATCCATAAAACATCACCAACCATTTCTGTCCAACAGCAGTCCAAACCCTAACTTTAAATAATCATCGTCATATTTACTGTGGTAGTATTTTTTTTCCCCACTCTTTTTTGTCTCTCCTGAAGTACTGTGGCTCCCCCCAGAGGACGCACACCTGTGAAAGCTACTGTCTTAGATCTTTTTGACTTACCCCCGTCCAAGCCTTCACTTGAATCAAGGACTCTACTCTTTTGTATGTCGAAGTGTTCACCAATACCTCTTCTCTAAGTGACAATCCAGTGGTTTGTGTTGACTCTGAGGGTCTGCAGTCTGTTACCTCATGACCAGAGAAGATGTGGATGTGGTGACACGTGGTCCAACCTGGGGATCTGATGTCGGTCCAGTTTGTTTGTGAATCCAAAAAAAAAAAGAGTCTGTGTAATAGTACAATCATGTTTTTGGACTAAAGACGGCTGAATGTGAACAGTTTTTATAGACACTGGTGTGGTCTTCATGATACTGCAGTACCTGTTATATATACTGTACATACACATAAAAAAGTTATGTGAAAGTTGAGTGGGTTTTTTTTCTGTATATTTATTCCTTAATAAATTAGCCTATTTTAAAATGTTGTTTTGGCTCTCACCATAAACACCTGCTCATCAACACAGGTATCCATGGACGCACACTCAAACACACACACTGACACAATGCTCCTCTTAATTGACCCTCGAGAGACTTGACACGTTTTCTGGACATGAAGAATTGTCAGGTGAGTTTGTCAAATTGGCCCTTATCGCCAGTCTATATATATATATATATATATATTACATTATAATACGTTTAGCAGACACTTTTATCCAAAGCGACTTTTCCATTAGCACAACAGACACAACTTAGCGATTCTTTTGTGGTACGACAAAGGGAAGTGTAGCTATATTTTTTAGCTTGCTTGTTTTAATTATGAACACTGAATTTACTATTTATTCTGACATAAAATCACAGTCTACGTCCTTCAGCCACAGCAATTTAATACGTTCTTCACAATTGTTTTTATGCTGGGGATAGCTAAAAATGTACAAATTTACGGCCTGGATGTTGATATTGGTTTCCCTGAAAGATATTACAGAAAGAGGCAACCACGGAAGTGCGAGGTGAGATGATTTTTTTTTTTAACTACCTATATATACCAACTATATTTTAAATCGTGTCCCACATTGTAATACTTCAAGCTGCCAGTTCCTCATATAATCTGAAGGTGGCAGCAATGTGACGCTACCGTGTATTATCTGCCACAACATCCGGCCGAAAGAGTAATCTCAGCGTCTCCCAGCAACACTGTAAATAACTCGATGATTTTTCCCCCTCTGGTCCAGGAAGGCGGTCAGGAAGTGTCCAGAGATGAATGAAAGTCTGTAGAGTACACTCCTCTGAGTCAGGTTTCTTAAAAATCCAGTCCCGACAGCGGAATCCCGAGGCTGTGCAGGTAAACGCCGTCGCTGACTCTGGAACAGTCGGAGCAACAGATAACACAGCAACTAATGTTAGCTGAGCTAACATTAGTTGCTGTGTTAGCCCTCACGGTAGCGTTTCAAACGTGTAGAAATAAAATAATAATTAAATAAGACTAGTATTTCATACCAAGTTTTTTATACTCGTATCATTGTAGCATTAATGATAATTTAGGAGATTTTATTGCGCTACATCACCTTGTATAGCGTGTTAGCTTAAGCCAATAGTTAGCTGGTAAAGTCGTGTAGATAATGTGTTGCGTGCTAACTAGCTGTTAATGGCTGTAATGAGGCTAAAGTCACACGCACCTGAACGTTTAGTGTTGTATTCCAAAGACAGACTGTCTGTTTTATTATATATTTTGGGTAAAACTTTTATGCTGTGTAAAATAGACAAAAAATGAACATCCGGCTGCTGACGTTAACCAACCATTGAAACGCCATGTAAACACTCAGGTACTAAAACAAATTCACTTAATTTTCACACGAATATATTTACTTTAAATAATTTCATTTAGTATTGGATATTTTAAATAATGAGAGGCTTCACGGTGGTACTGCAGTACAGTTTAAGTATTTTAACTGACGAAGTATTTGCAAATTAATTAATGTATTATTATTATTTGTTCTGCCTTGGTCTTTATTTAGATGGACTGTATTTTACCAGTTTGTTTTTGCTGTGTTGATAAATATGAAGTTACAGGAGGTGTAAAGTGACACATTAACTAGCAATAATAATCAATGTCATCATTTCACTTCTTTTGAGGAACATGGCAGTTACTCCTGATTTAAGAGCTATCCCACTGCATGAATGTGTTATTTTAGTTTCCAACAATATGAACGATATGAATGAGTAGTAGATGTTTACGGAAGATTAAATGGATGTGAACACAGACTTTCATCAACATGCTGATGATTCGAACTCACCTCACAGTGAAGGTGTTGTTTTCTTCTGTCTCACAGACAGCTGGTAGTTGGAGCCCAGCTGATGGGGCTCTTCGACAGGTTGATTGGATGGCTGGGGCTGAAGAAGGAGGTAAATATACTGTGTCTGGGCCTGGACAACAGTGGGAAAACCACCATCATCAACAAACTCAAACCCAACAATGTAAGTCTGGAGTTATTATATATGTATCTATACATGTATGATATGTTTTAGTAAAGAGAAATGATCCTGATGTTTGCTGCTGCTCACACTTCACTGAATTATTTATATTTCAGGCCCAGACACAAGACATTGTTCCGACCATTGGTTTCAGCATAGAGAAGTTCAAAACCTCCAGGTATCTTTGATTTTATCACTTATTTTTATTTACTTTTTTATTTTTTATTGTTTTGACACATGACTTGATGGTATTTTTTTTCCTTTTCCTTTCCTTCAGTCTTTCCTTCACGGTGTTTGACATGTCTGGTCAGGGCAGATACAGGAACCTGTGGGAACATTACTACAAGTGAGTGAAATAATGCTGCTAAAATTATTTTTCAATATAGTTTGGAAAAAAAGCATTTGTTTACGTTTGCTCTCCTCAGGGAAGGCCAGGCGATCATATTTGTTATCGACAGTGCTGACAAACTGAGGATGGTTGTGGCCAAAGAAGAACTGGACACTTTGTTAAATCATCCTGGTAACTTTGTGGTGAAAATGTTGTTTAACTGGCAGTAGATAAACAGCTCCACCTGGAGTGGAGTATTGGTACTGGCATCACTGACAACTGTGTTTTCGCTCAGTTCTCGTCGTGTGACTTCACAAATCACTTTGCTAATTCAGATTTGGTGACACCAATACTTCTTACCAATACATTGAACTCGACAATAAATACTCAAAACCTTCGTCTACTTCCTGTCTCTGCTCAGATATTAAACACAGACGAATCCCAATCCTGTTCTTTGCAAACAAGATGGACGTCAGAGATGCTCTGTCCTCAGTCAAAGTCTCACAGCTGCTGTGTTTGGACAACATTAAAGACAAACCCTGGCATATATGGTATGAACATTATTGAGAAGTTGTCGGTGTGATTTTATGTTTCTGATGGCAAAACTGCATAAATATGTCCACTGTCACTGAAGATCAGCTGTATCATTTTTAGTTGTTTTTTTTACTTGGTAAAATCTGGTATCTGTCTGACAACTTTTTGACTAATTATATAATAATAACAATTATTATTATATTCTCATAATATCAATTCAGTCAAACATTTTCCCATCATCCTCTGCTTCACAGAAATGAGGTCACCAGTGATGCTTCAAACAAATTGTTCGTTTTACATTAAGACAGAAAAAAAAACGTGACCTTGTATTTGCTCTTGCTGTGGAGGATTTGAAAATAAAATAAAGAACATCACAGAGATCATATCTCTGAGTCATTGTTGTTGAATTTCAGGTTTGTTTTCTGTGTTTCAGTGCCACAGATGCTCTGAGAGGAGATGGTCTCCAGGAGGGAGTCGACTGGTTACAAGGTACCGAGTCAGTGCAGTACAGGGGTGTCAAACTCAATTTGGTTCACGGGCCACATGCAACCTAATTACCTGTCAAATGGGCCGGACCAGTACAATCATCACCAGTGTAATCATAATAATAATTAACTATAAATAACAAGTCCATGTTTTTCCCCTTTGTTTTCATATAAACACAAGTATATTAGATATGTATTATTATGTATTCATATTTAATGAAATATATTTTTTCAAAAAAATATTCTGAACATGAAGTAATTTTTTTATTTATTTTTATAATTCATTAAGCGGGCTGGACTGAACTGCCAAGTGGACCGATTTTAGCCCCCGGGCCATGTGTTTGACACCCCGGTCTAGTATCAGGACTTTGTGTGTTTTTATTTGACTGATGATTTTGTTTTTCCTCTTTTTTTCTTTTTGTTCAGATCAGATCAAGTCCCTGAGAACATGAGGCCGTGATGAGATTAATTGTGAGACCTGACAACTGAAACTACACACTGAGGTTTTTCTGTAGTTACTGTAGATGTTGATGTTCTTCATCAATGTTCAAGGTTCAGTCTGGGATTAGTAATATCTTGATTCCAATAGTAACATTTAAAATAATTGAGTTGTAAATTTCAAGAATAGTTTATTTATATTATCATTTTTTTCTAGAATAATATTTATGACTGTTTTTTTATTCTAGTTGTCTGTAAAGACGCCGAGCAGGAAAGTGTTTTGTTTTCATTTTAGCCTTTAAATCTAATTTAATTTAATTATCATCTAATAAATAATTAGTTTCTACCTTCGGTCTCTGATGAAGTTTGCCTCAGAGTACTGATGTATACTGAGAGTACTGAAGTGTACTGAGAGTACTGATGTATACTGAGAGTACTGAAGTGTACTGAGAGTAC